TTATTATACTTTCCCAATCATTACAGGCGAAACGTTGGGGCTTTGTTACGCAGCCACAGGGGGGGCGCTACAAAGGGGGGGGGGGGGTGGAACACCCCCAACTCGTCAGCTAATCGGCAAATTGTTATCTCAGTCGGCAAAACTGGATTGGCTAAAGATAACCACTGAAGAAACCAAAATTGACCTCCTGAATAATTGAATTCAAACCGAATATCACGAATAGCATGCATCAAAGAAACCACACATGCAGCAATGCAAATTTTTTCGAATACAGTATCTTCACTTCTGGCAGCTAGTCCAAAAACATAATATTATTGAAATCAAAATTAGGTAATTAATTGTTGTTGTTGTTGTTGTTGTTGGTGTTGTTGTTGGTGTTGGTGTTGGTGTTGGTGTTGTCGTCGTCGTCGTCGTCGTCGTCGTCGTCGTGGTTGTTGTTGTTGTTGGTGTTGGTGTCGTCGTCGTCGTCGTCGTCGTCGTTGTCGTTGTCGTTGTCGTTGTCGTTGTCGTTGTCGTTGTCGTTGTCGTTGTCGTTGTTGTTAACGTTGTTGTTGTTGTTGTTGTTGTTGTTGTTGTTGTTGTTGTTGTTGTTGTTGTTGTTGTTGTTGTTGTTGTTGTTGTTGTTGTTGTTGTTGTTGTTGTTGTTGCTTATTATACTGTTCTATAAAAGAGGCAATAAAGTCGGTTTTCCACTAGCGAATTTTCTCGCACGAAGCGACTTTTTTCCTTTCTCGGTATCACTTATTACGTCAGCAAGACGTGGCAAAATCAGTCCTCGAAAACGAGGTCGGCATTCGGCAATGCCGGGTTAAATACAAATTTTTGCCCACTTTAATTCAACCAAAGTAAGAATTTTTTATGCTGATAGCTTTTAAAATGTCAGCGAATTCGATTAACTGAACACACTACCACAGAATAGGAAGGTATAGCAGAAGCGTGACTCAAGCAAGTATTTGTCGGCGCTTTTACAAGCGATTCGTCATCAATCACACCATCCTGGCTAGTACAACCGGCACTTTGTACCTAGCAAAACCTGATAAAAACTTCCGGTTGTACTAGCCAGAATGGCGTGAGCGAGTTAAAATTTTCGTGGACGTAAAAAATAAGGGAAACGACTAGAGTTACGCTTCTGCTATAGCTTCTTATTCTGTGACACTAGGGTGTAAGGTTTAAAAACTGACGGGTATTGTGTATATACGTTAGATGTTTGAAGATCAAATTTCGCGCGTCTGGAGTTAAAATTTGGCTCCAACTTTCGAATTTTCCGGCTGGAGGTAACGTTCCAGTTATATTCCGATTTCAATGATTCGTAAATGCGTGATTAATATTGCTCCAAGACGTGGAACAGATTTTAAGAAATGCCGAGATGTTCCGACCTAGGTCAGATTTAGGTCGACCCTCTTTTGCCGACCTCAATTGTGACGGTTTTGACTTTTCGAGGGCTGCAAAATGGATGCCGACAAAGGAAAATGGTCTCTTCGCGCAGTAAAATTCGCTAGTGGAAAACCGACTTAAAAGAGGGTAATAAAGCGCATTTAAACATGCACATTTACTATAGATGGCCCTGAAGGGGTAAAATGGGAACTGGGATTGACCTATTTTTAGACTGAGAAAATGGGATTTGGGTTGCTGGGACTGGGATTTGGCCACTGGGAATAGATAGATAGATAGATAGAGACTTTATTTAAAGAGGGTGACGTTTAATAGTACGAAGTACTAATGAACTTGTGGCCCTCATAAAATTTACAAAAAATTAGGGAGTATATCTATTGTCTATTTACAACATTTATATATATATATATATATATATATATATATATATATATATATATATATATATATATATATATATATATATATATATATATATATATATTATAAATCAATATTCAGTTGACTTTCAAGTTTACTTAATTAAAAAGGTTATATTACATGAGGTATATATGACATTACATTTATATAAAAGAGAACATTAGCTATATTACAATTATATATTACTTAAATTTGAAATCAGGAAAAGAAGTAAATTGTTTAAATTCACTCTGGTGCGTACGGAAGCAATTATATAATAAGTATTTAAAACAGTTAATGGAGCTAGCAGAACGGAAACTTAAAGGTAATTTGTTCCAGAGGCCTATAGCGGTTATAGAAAAAGTTCTTCCTTCCTCTGTAGCTATATTGTATTTCGGAGTTAGTAAACTTAAATCAGCACTGCGAGTGTTCCTCGAATGTTGTTGGCTATTTAAATTTAATAGTCCGTTTAAGTACTCTGGAGTAGCATTAATAGTACGCTTGTAGATCATAATACATTTTCTAATACCCGACTCTACGTAAAAAGGTAACCAACCAAGATTATTAAATAGATTAATCGAAGAATGGCGAGGTTCAGCGTCAAGGATAATTCTGGCGCAGCGTTTTTGAAGTTTGAAAATTTTTGTGATATTGTTCTTACTACAGTTTGTCCAGGTTATACTACAATAGAGAAATAGAGGTTTGATCATAGCATTGTAGAAAAGAATACGTTCCTTTCGAGGCAGGTAGGATTTTATAGATTTCAATATTCCAATACGTTTCGATAGTTTCATTGCAATTATATCAACATGAGTGTCAAAGTTTAAATCTTCATCAATATTAAAGCACAGTAATTTCACAGTGTGCTCTTGTTCTAATGAATCATCGTTCAATTTAATATTGAGAGTTTGATTTTCAGGAGTAAGCTTAGCTTTAAGACGTTTACCAGAAATCAGAATGGTTTTGGTCTTAGTGGTATTGAGAGGCAGTTTATTGGTAATGGCCCAGTTTTGAACGTTAGAGACTTCCAGAGATAATTTCTCATTAAGTTCATTAATATCATTATAATCAGTGGCAGCGAGTAAGGTAGTGTCATCAGCGAATAAATCTACTTGGGTGTTGATATGTAGAGGCAAATCGTTGATAAAAACGAGAAACAATAGAGGACCAAGGATAGAACCCTGTGGTACTCCGTCCGTGATTACTTTTTTTGTAGAAGACTGGCGTTTGAAGTTAACATATTGTTTACGGTCTGATAGATAGGATTTAAACCAATCAAGCGAGCTCTGATCAAGATGGTTTGCTCCAAGTTTATCAAGCAGGATACAGTGATCAACCATATCAAAGGCTTTCTTATAGTCGACTAAGACCATGCCATTAATGAGATTTTTATCCAGGTTGAGTAAAAGAGAGTCAACGATAAATGCAACAGTAGTTTCTGTGCCAAATTCACTTCGAAAACCGGATTGATTGGAGTATATCAGATTATTTATAGTGAGATAGTAAAACAGACAGTCGTGTACATGTCTCGTTCAATGATCTTTGAAAGCTTCATTTTGGGAAATGAAGTCCCCAAAAATGGGAATGGGATTGAAGTAATGTGAGTCAATTCCCAATTTTGATCCGTTTTTGGTGTCTTTAGTCATGATTTTTGTTGTTAACTATATTATGCACAGCATTACCTGCGAACAGGCATACTCTGGCGCCCGGAATTTTGGGTTTTCTGATTATGCGTGTCTCAGAATGATGCAAATGCTATTTCCGGGATTCAAATTTAAAAATTTTCCGTGCCTTCGGCACGAGCCCTCCCCCCAATATTTCATAAAGTGTCCGCCACTTGCACACACAGTGGCTTAAAAGGTCTTAAAACTGTTTATTCTACCGATAAATAAAGGGTTTTTATTGCCTGGGATTTCAATAACTCGGACTGGGATTTCTAATAAAAATCCAACTGGAACTGGGATTTTGCCAAAATTTCAGGTGGAAAATAGGATTGGGACCCCCCCCTCCACTTCAGGACCCTCACTATAGGCTAATGACTCGGCAAAATTACCAAACAACAGTCGGCAAAAGATCACTCACACCTCGAAGAGGGTTAGCGCCGCCCCTGCGCAGCTAGCACTGATCAAGACACGGGCTTACGAAAGGGAAGCTTTGGGAAAGAAATGAATTAATGTAATGATTTCCACACAGCAATATTAAACTATTACAGTAGTTCAAAATACAATAATGGTTTCACAATCATTATAGTCGAAACGTTGAAGCTTTGCTACGCAGCTAGCACTGATCAAGAGACGGGCTTAGGAAAGGGAAGCTTTGGGAAAGAAATGAATTAATGTAATGATTTCCACACAGCAATATTAAACTATTACAGTAGTTCAAAATAAAATAATGATTTAAAATCTTCCCTGAATGGCCGCCAGTTATCATGAACTATGCTTACGGTTTTATATACATATCATGGTAGACTAAATAACACAAACTTCTGGCTTGATAATTCTTCATACCATGCTCAAACCTCATTCAATAATTATTAAATATAGTCCATTTGGCATTATCTCAGCTGATTCATGCGTCACCTTCACCGTCACCAAGATGTTAATAGGGACCTTTAGCAAATAGGTGACGGCACGCGACGACGACGGCCAAAATAAACTCGTTCGAATAAGTAACTTTAAGATCAACATGTTTTGTATTATCCGTTGTATGAATTTATTGCAATTTAAGAAGGTTAAGACAGAGGTTTATAGTTGAGAAGACTTCTACTAAGCCAATTTGGCGAGGACGACTTCTCGCGGCTTGAAAAGCAGACGTTGTGTACAAAACGTGAAAATCTTTGGTTTGCTGTTGTAAACAGAGCAATTAAGGACGACGTCTAAAACTCTGTTAATAGCCGTCGCCGTCCTGCTAGCTAAAGATCCCTATTAAACTGCTGTAGCAAACACAACGCGCCGTCGACGAGGACGTAAAAATGGCGTGCATGCGGAATTTTACTTCCGATTTAGTCTAGGACGTCGTTCACGTTGTGTTTAGGATGGCATTCAGGGTGTTTTCTCGTCGTCTCTAGAACGTCACAAATTCATGCTTGTTTTTGAAAAAAAAGTATGAGAGTATGCACCACAAAAACCATCCTATTTTGTTCTACATATATTCTTCAATATTTGTAGCTGAACATTGTCTTGATTGATAAGTTTGTTTGTAATTGTTTTTCTGAAAATTTCACCTCTGTTCATATTAAATAATTTAGTGTTTTTAATTTAAATCAAGGATCACACAAGAGGTTTTTGATAATATTTTTATTTTTGCTACGTTTCGGATAGTTTACTATTTTTGGCGTGTTGTTAAAAAAATATAAATTTAAGAATTAAGATTGTCGTATTGCCATGACAACACTGACGTAAGCGCAAGCCTGCGCTTAGTGTTGATCAACTTCATGTAAGTCAATGTTTGGAAAATATAGACGAGGGGTTGCTGGCATGCTGCATGCATGTATTTCTAGTATCATACGAATTTATGGAAGCGTCAACAAGTGCGGTAAGTATGATTAAAATTAATGTGCATATATTTACATTACCAATAGCGGAAAAGGCCAAACAATTGTTGCATTTGATACAGGTAACACATTGCAGTTGCAAAAGCTCATGTGCCACGAAAAGGAAAGAAAATACTAACCGAAGTTGCCCGTGTATATTTAAGGCAAAGAACATCGCGGGCTCAGCCAACTGCAAGTGTGGGACTCGCAAAACACCTTGCAAGAACAGGGTATGTTTGCGAGACAAATGTACTAATTTATCTTTCATTTGTATGTTTTATAACATAAGATGGAGTACGCCGTGATAAATCGCCACGTCGTCTAAATATGAAACAAGGATTCCGTGGCTTGACACCGCGTGAAACTACAGGTATCAACGATGATACCGAAGATCAGCAGAGAGAGAAAGAAAACAATGATGTAAATCAGTAAATGTTTGTGAATTAATAATCGAGTGTTTAGACGAGTGTCGCTAAATCATGCCGAATGCTAATAAAATATACATGTTGGCCAATGGCAGTAAGCCAAATCACAGGCGGCCCAATCTCTGAACGTCCTATATAGGGAATGCAGTTATCCCATTGCCGCAAGTCTTTGCTCACTCTTTAATCATTTATTACATACTGGTACTGTTCCATCTGAATGGAAATCACCTGATGTTTCACCAATTCATAAGAAAGATAAGAAAGAACTAGCTATCAACTACCGTCCAATTTCACTGCTATCTATCATCAGCAGAGTCTTGGAGCGATGCGTTTGTAATCGTTTCTACGAACATATCCGAGATTCAATTAACGAAGCTCGGCATGGATTTCTTCATGGTTGTTCTTGTACTACACAGTTTCTTTCAACGTTATATCGTATTGGACAATTGCTTGACAAAAATACCCAGACGGACATTCTATTTCTTGACTTCGCTAAAGCCTTCGACTCAGTGGATCATGTTATTCTCTTAAGAAAGCTGAAAGATTACGGTATCGCAGGAAACCTTTACAGATGGTTCTCTGACTACCTGCATAACCGTACCCAGCGTGTTGTTGGAGAGGGTGCTGCTTCGTCATGGTCTCCCATCACTTCTGGCGTTCCACAGGGAAGCAAGCATCTTGGGTCCAATGCTTTTCTTACTCTTCATCAACGATCTTCCTGATGTCATTCCTGAATCTACATCAACAGGACTGTATGCTGCTGATACCAAATTATATAGAGAAATTTCAACTCCAGAGGATTGTTCACAGTTACAAGAAGCTTTGTCGTGTGCGGTTGTTTGGAGTAAGGATAACAACGTCAACTTTAATCCCTCAAAATGTAAAATATTGACATTCTCCCGCCGTAAAATACCTTTTCTTTTCGAATATTATCTGGGATCATCCGAATTGAAGCGTGTGAATGATGAAGTTGATCTGGGAATCACAGTGACCAGTAACCTTTCATGGACTACCCATATCAATAATATAAAAGTCGAGGCGAACAGGTTGCTGGGTTTGCTTAGAAGAACATGCCCCTTGCTAACAGACCGCAGTATCCGGCGCACTCTGTATCTTTCGCTCGTCAAGTCACAATTATGATATGCCACAGAGGTTTGGTCTCCCTCCCAATATAATAACAAATTAATTCTGAAGCAAGTCCAAAGGCGTGCAACAAGATGGATCCTTCAATCGAAGAAAGGTAACATGACCTACAAGGGCAGATTGCTTGCTCTGAATCTTTTACAACTGGCGTTCGACATGTAAATTAAGGATTTGACATTTATGTTTAAAACTTTGCATGATTTTTATGATTTGGATGTTTCCGATTTTGTGTCATTTGTTAATCATAGTCGTACCCGTAATTGTAATAACCCTTCTCTAGTGCTTAAAGTTCCGTCATGTAAAAGTAGCACTTTTCAGTCATCGTTCTTTAACCGTGTTGTTCCACTCTGGAATCATACTTGCAAAATTGCTTCTCTTGGAGATCTTCGCAGTTTGGCAACGTTTAAATTCTTCTTATCAAGAACATACTTCAATTTATTAATAGTAGTTTTGATGTTGACATGTGCTGTACGTGGTCTTTGTATCGTAGCTGTTCATGCCATAGAGATAATTAATTCTGATATAAACGTATACCAGCTCCTCGTGTCAGGTTTTGTTTTATCCTGATTCAGCTTTCAAATAAATTTTTAACATGATTATACTAATCTGTATTATATGTATGATAACTTGAATCTGGTGCAATAGCCGTCCTATTTTGATATTAATCAGCTGGTATATGTTTACCAATTTATAATATTGTTGTAAATAATGATATTAGATGTAAACTAAATTCAAGAGGGAGAGTGCCTCGCATCGGTCTCGAGTCCCGTTCGCACTCTTGCCGTTTGAACATCGTTCAATAAAGCTGTTAAAATAAATAAAAAATATATATTTTGAATATTTAACCGTTATAATATTTAAAATAACAAAATAATTCGAAAAATATTAGCAGCATATGTAAAAATATATCTAACTTGTTAATAATAGGATGCATTTGTTGTGTTTCCGAGTTTAGTTTATGCGATTGCTTTACGTTTTCGTCGTCCTTGAACGGTCGTCAGTACTGGCACTGAACGACATGGCCGTATAGGACATAAATAACTACAAGGCTAGCCACTTATCTGATATACCATCCGACATCGAGTCCAATATATATCTCGCCTCAGAATCGTCGCAGAGCAATAAATTTTACATCGTCTAATAGTATGAACGTTTCTCTTTCGAAAGCACATGGTTTCTTCACCATTTGGGCAATTCCCGCGATATACGACGAACTTTGTTTATCAAAAGTCCAAAATTCCATTTTCGAAAGAAGCGCTATTACAGCCCATGATCGTTGCCACCAGAGTAGCTCAGCAACCTGGCCTCCTCGTTAGAAAACACTCCGCCAGGGGGTTAAATCTATAGTCATGTTCTCTATTACATGGATGTGGTATTAATGCATTCAAAAGGTGATTTGGAGATTTAATTTTATCCATGTATTGTTTACATAGTTTTTTAGGTCTTGCCTGTAATTTCTCCAAGTTGAACATTCGTAAAAGTTCGTCATAGCACTCTTCTCCAGGTTTAATAATTTTTAGAGCTCTTCTCTGGACCGACTCTATTTTGTGTGAGAGATACTCAGGTATAGCTTGCCAGACTGGTACCGCATATTTTAGTATTGGACTTATAATCGCAGAATAAACCTTCAACATCTTGTTTGTTTCAACACCAGCTTTACGCAGTATACGCAGAGAGTATAATCTTTTACATGCTTTTCCATATATATAGGCAACATGGTCTTTCCATTTTAGATCATCCGTTAAATAACTCCAAGAAGTTTGTATTTCTTTATCGTTTCGATAGTGGTATTACTTATGGTTATAGGTCTTAATACCGTAGTATTGTACTCTAAAGGATCTATTACCATCTCCTTGCATTTTTTAGGGTTAAGTTTCACATGATTGTTTTCAGCAAAATCATTAATGTTGTCCGCTACTATGTTGGTCAGGCTCATCGAGTTCCTTGGAATCATTTCTAGAGCTGTAGTATCATCCACAAATTTTGTTCTTAGTCTCCATTCGGTAAGGAGCTCGTTTGTCATCACAGAGAACAATATTACACCCAGTTTTGTTTCCTGCGGGATTCCGCCATTCGGACGTTTCCAGTCGGACAGTACTCCGGCAATTCGAACTGCTTGCATTCTGTTTGACAGGAAGGCTGACACCCAGTTAGTACGAGCAGGATGTATATTAAGTTTTTGAAGGTTCGCTATAAGTATATTGTGGTCTATGCGATCAAATCCTTTGGAGAAATCTGTAAAGAAAATTCGGGCTGTATTGTTTCCTTTGTCAATTGCTTCGTAAATGGGTTGAAGGAAGCTTATTAATGCATCCGATGTTGATAGGCCTTTACAGAAAAACTGGTATTTATCAATCTTTCCTTCTAACTGTGGTAGGAAACGTCTACAAAACAGACCTTCCATCACTTTTGCTAGAGTGCACGAAAGTGATATCGGGCGCAGGTCTTTTTCAATAGTTTGCGGAGGGTTTTCTTTTGGTATGGGAGAAATAATAGAGCATCTTAATAATTGGGGAACATAGCCTTCAGTCTAGGACTGATTATAAATGTCTTGTATAACTGTGGCTAATTCCGGAGCAAACTCCTTTAGCACCTTGTTTGGTAAGTTGTCTCGACCTACTGACTTGGAAAGTTTGATACTTTTTAATGAAAATTGAACCTCTTGTACAGTAGCCAGAAGTTCCACAG